GCAAGTCCATAGCAGTAAAAGGAACATCTGGAGGGAGGGAAGGGCCTTGTGCTGCGGGACTTGGCATGTTTGCACACACCTTGCTTCAAAAGGACCGTTAAAAGAAAACAGAAAAGAAAAAAGGAATAAAAAAGGAAGGAAAGTGGTGCTGCTCTGCCTGCAGCTCGCACCCGTGGGCGCGGGGTCAGCAGCGCTGAGGCATCCGCCCTTGCTTTTATCTGGGTGCTTCTCGCACACGTGTAGCCATCATTAAAGACAGGGAACTCAGCGCCTCGCCCACCAGGCCCTGTCATCCCCTCGACTTCCTGGCAGCCAAGATGGAAAAACGCATGGGAAAAATTACGCTGTTGGGGTAGAGCCTGGTGTGTGCGCAGGGGCTGCRCCCTGGGCGGTTGCTGGCGAGGGGCTCACCCCACGGAGCCCCGATYCCCTTGCGTGTCCGTCAGGAGCCCCCCGCCATGGCCACCAGCATGGCCACCACCACCGTCGACGCGCGGCCCTCCCTGCCGCGGTGCTGAGCCCAGGCCATCGCTGCTCTTTTTGGTGTCATTATCGCACATTCCTTGCACTTAAATGTGACATGTGCAGAGGGCTGCGGAGCTGGCRCCCCTCAGAACAGTGGGCACTGGCGCTGGGGAACATCTGGGCACAAGCCCTGCTGCCCCCAGGGCGCGGAGTAAGCGGGGAAGGTGACAAGAGGCCAATGGGTGATGAAGCTGCTTGCTGGCTGAATCACAAGGTGGGGAAGGGAAAGGGCAGTTCTGAGGAACCCGGGGTGTGGGTTCCTCCCTGAGCATGGAGGAAAGGAAAGGAGCTTCGGCCCTGGTACCTGGCACCTCTCCAGACGGGCAGCCCGGCCCCCCAGCACTGGTACYAAGGCTGGACCCCCACCCTTTCCCCGGCCCTGGGGCCGCGGCACCCTGGCAAACCCAAAGCCGAGCAGGATAACGTCCTTGGCGAGCGGCCCTGATGACTAAGTGGCTCTCGAAGCTTTAGTGGGGCAAAAGCCGGCGTCACGGAGCCAGGTGGATTTCCCAGCGCCACGGCGGAGTGTGGAGGAGCTGCCAAGGGGCACATGCTTGTACACACAGGAGCTTTAGTTTGACTATTCTTATTTATTGTCACCAGCCAGGCTTGGACGGGGGGGCCAGGGCCGGCGTTGCGGGGCCCTCGGCCGGCGCCGGGCGCCAGCCACCCCCACAGCTCTGTTTGCSGAGCAGGTGAATCAGGGATTTCACGGAAGGGCCTCGCAATCGCCGCCCTGCATTTTTTCCCTTTATTTAATTATTTTTTGTATCCCTCGCTGTTTCATTAGGGTGAATCACGCCCGTGAGGCCGACACTGTTGTGCCCGTTCCCAGGGCGACGCGCGTGGCGGCCACGCGGCTCCAGCCACTGCCRGGCGCCTCAGCGCAGGCCGCGGCCTGAGGGGCAGCGTGGGGAGCGTCCCAGCTGCCTCCGTCCCATGGGGCCCGGCCCCATGGCCTCCGTGGGGCCGGGCCTCCCACCAGGGCAGCCCCGAAGCCCTGGCTGAGGCAGCGGTGCCRCTGCCAAGGAGGGTTTGGCCGCTCCCCGGCGGGAGGAAGTCGTAAAGTGATTACACGTTTCTCTGGAGCGCGGGGAGGGGGAAGGAAAAATGCCAGCCCCAACGCACGGGATCAACCAGAGGCCAAAGTCCCAGGATTTGATCGTGTGGAGCAATAAAATCCGGGCTGGGAGTGGCCATGTGTAGTAATGAGCAGGATTATACTTTTCTCTTTCTTTTTCATTTCTTTCCTTTTCCTTTTCCTTTTCCTTTTTCTTTTCCCTTTTCCTAGAGATTAAGTCACTATCGGAAGCAGGAAACAGCGCTGGCTGTTCTGCCAGGGAGCTATCCCAGCAGAAATCCGGCAGAAATAAGCTCAGGGACACGGCGGGGTGAACACCCCGGGCCATGCTGTGCCGTGACRGCCACCACGGCTTCCCAAGGGTGAGCATGGCCAGGATGGCTTCCCGCTGCCATGGCACACATGCCTAAACCTGAGATGAGGGTGACACGCACCATACATCCATACACATATATAGACCCCTGTGCTGTGCGCGGTGGCTCTACCGGTGCGTTTAACCGCAAACTGGGAAAGGGCAGCAGGGAAGGACACGGCTCTTCCTCCCCAAATGCCCTACACGGCTCTGGGGTTTCACAGCGTCCTCCCCACGCAAATCCRTCTGTCCCGGCGCTTCCTCCACCGGCCGCCCCGCGCCTCGCACAGGACACACGTTCCGCTTCGGGGGGCTCTTATTCCGTATCTGTTCTGTTCTCTTTTACTATTTGACGTCGTTTCCCTTTCAGGCGCTTGCTCCCCCCGCCAGCTCACCGGGCTGGCAGCAGGGCCGGTTGGCCGGGACAGGCCGGGGCGGCTGCRCGTGGCCGGCGGCACTGCCGGCGGCGCGGCCGGCAGCACCGGCGCAGCCGGTTCCCCGGCGAGCGCCGTGGGAAGGCACGAACCTCCCCGCCGGGTGCCAGCACGCGGGGAGCGGGGCCGGTTCCCCCGCCACCCCCCGCTCCGCACCACCTTTAATTAAAAATTGAAATCGGGTAATTGCCTCTTCATTAAAGGCAATTAAAGCCCGGCTGACGAGGGCGGCAGGGAGGGAGGGAGGAGGCGGCGCGTTTTGCAACCCGCAGCGGCGCTGGGAGCGCGCGCTGCCCTGCCACCGTGGCGGCCCTCGGCTCTCGGCCTCCATCCAGCGCCTTCATCGCGCGCCCGCTTGGAACCCGGCTCCCGCTCGCGGCGCCCGGGGGCCTCTCGCACCCAGCGCCCGCGGCCGCCCCGCGGGAACCCGGCACTGTGGGAACGGGACAGCCTTCCTTCTCCTCCTCCTCCTCCTCCTCATTTGCCAAGGCCCAGGCCAGCARCGCTTGCCTAAAACCAGTCTCACCTCAGCTGTGCTTATTAAAATATATAGATACATATATATATATATAAATAATATARRTATAATAACAGTCCAGGGTGATCTTTCCCCAAAGTTGGCCTTTTTGATCTTTCCGTGGGCCAAGCAGCAACGCACCCTATATATATCTTAGATGGAAAGCACATAATTTGTTTTCCCCATCTTCTTTTCTTTTTTTTTTTTTTTTGAAGTAGTGAGAGATTAAAAAGCTTAGGGGAACGTCGGCAGCGGTTACATCTTAATTGCTTTTTTCTCTGCATCAAAACGCCTGAACTCTTCACTCGTGTGCCTGAGCGCCGCCTGACCTCCGAGCGAGCGAGCTGCTGCTGCTGACAAGTCACAGCCCATCTCCCTCTCCAGGGCCAAGCGCCTTCCCCATCCAGGCCACTGAACTGACAAGAAATAATCGTCTCCCGGCCCCCATTTGGGCTATAATGCTGCCTTTCARCATTAAACAGCACCTGGTGTGCCTGGACTAGGCCTTGCTCCCTCTTTTCCAAGCACACGGAGCCTGGGAGCACCGAGTGTCCAGCAGGATGCACGGTTTGCATGATGTGCTGCTTACACCATTCCAAGGGCAAGTTCATGAGGTTACACGCTAGCCCAGCGTAACTCGGGGCAGTTGGAGCTCGTCTTGTGTCTTCTGCATCACTAAGTCTGCAAGGAAGCAGTGACTTCCCCTGCACAGAACAAGTCCGGCCTCTTGGTAAATGCCCTTCTGGAGCTTGAGCCTCTCGGAGGCTTCCCAGGGCTGAAGGGACTTCCAGAGGCCTCACTCATTTGAGGAACTCCCATCCCATAAAGGAAGCACTTAATTGAGAATGAATCTACTAAGGCTCGCCTTTATTTTAGAACAGGAAAAGCTTGTTTAATAAGGAGAGCGGAAACTTGCAGAGACATTTAATTTCTTCTAGCTACTAGAAATTTTAAGCAGCCGGTAGCAAAAAAAAAAAAAAACCCAAGCAACTGAACTTAAGGAAATTAGGCTGAGAGGCCACACTCAGAGTTACCCCAAACAGCCTGGCCAGCCCACAGCCACAGCCAAATCGTGCAGCAGGACCAGCCAGTGCCCTTGCAGAACGCAAGGGTAACGTCCCCAGGAGCTATGTCAGTTTTTCAGTCCTCCTTCACCCCTTGTAAAACCTCCAGCCTTAACTCTCTGGAGAGCCCAGCGGTTTATCCGGCACAGGGCAGGGCCTTCAGCGAGCACTGGGATGGAGACTTGGTCCTTTTCCACTGCACCCTATTCCACACGGATCCCCCGAATGCCGCGTTTTGCCCACGCACATCTGCACTCACCAGCCAGCCCGGCTTCGACCGCAGGTTCCTGCTCGAGGCTGCTAGACCAGCTCAAGTACCTGTTACTTTCTTTTCTCATAAACACTTRCAGAGTCTATAAATAATCACTTGAAAATGGAGAAGTTTTCAACATTCATCTTTGCAATTATCAGCTACATCTGTAATTGCAAGGGAAGGACTGGGGCTCAACAAGATCTGCTTTCTATGAGGCTGCGTGTCCCAGCAGTAACTCCACTTTTCCCAAACCCCGCTGAGCTTTCCCATTACTTTCCCCAGGACAAACACCCAGCTCATCAGCCTAATCACCCCGGCATCGCGCTTGCTCTCGCTGCATCCTGGCACATTAAGCTCTCCCTGTTCTGGAATTTCCCGTTTTCTCAAAACTCCAGGTAGCCGTTTGGGATTCATGCACATAAATTACTTCAGTGCGCTCATTTGCAGATGTTTATCTCTGCATGATTGCATTCCCACTTAACCACGCAGAAAGTACAGGGGAAGTTTAGCATTCAGTTGCTTTTGATGCAGAAACTACTGGCCCAATACGTCTCTGTGATGCGCCTGCCACCCCTCACCAGGCATTTCTGTCACCCTACAAGCTCATGTGCTACATGAGGGCTGTCAGCTACACCTTTCCACCACTGCTGGAACAGCCGCYGCCTTCCCCTAGCGCGAGGACACACACTTCAGGGTGACTTTGCTGATAAAGACCCATCCTCTTGCCCCCGAGCCTCCCAGATGTTCCACAGCACTCTTAGAGACAGCAGTCAACACCTGGCTGCAAAAGCTTCTCTTAGATGCAGTTCGCCACCTCCAAGAGCAAGGCAGCAGTGTGTGTTCCTGCCCTAACACGCCAYGAGCCCCTAGGTTTAGTCTGTGCTCCTCTGTCATCGAGCACAAGGATTTATGAAGGCCCTGCAGCCTTGAATGACGTACCTCAAAACCCCCCAAAAAGTCCTACAAAGCATTCCAGGGCACTAGACCTTAAAAAGCCTGTTTACTTGCAAATGGAGCAAGTTTGTTCTGCTCTACATCAATGAGCTGCACGCTGCTTTTCTTTGCGTTTTGACAACAAAGGAAACTCGGGGCATGCTGGTGCAGGAGCCCTGTGGTTAAGCCACACAGCTGGCAGGCCTCCTGTTGCAAACTCCACCGTTGACTAATGGAAGTCAAGGGGATAGGCACTTGCCCTGGGAAGCAGCATGGACCAGACAGCCACCACCATTCATGTTTCACAACTTTAATAGAATATTCTATCTATTCTGTACAAATTGAAAACACTGTATTAAGTTACAAATGTGTAAGGTAAGGCTGGAGCACTCTACATGCCTGGTCACAGTGTTGATACAGCTGCTATTCAACTGCTGCCCGAGGTTGGCAATGGATGCGGAGACTAGAAACGTGTACCTGAAGTGCCTCACAAGGACAAGAAGGTAGTTCTGAAGACTTCAGAGCTTTAAAAACAAAAATTGTGGAAGGGAATAATTCCAGTGTTGCAAATAAGACACCAAAACTTCAGATTTATTGAGCTGAATTTTGTTAAATTTGTGTTCATAGTGAAAGGTCYTTCCATGCTGGACACTAAGCAATAAGACTACTGGAAATTTTCTGGTTCTTTGGCTGCAACCCACTTCCATCAACAGCAACAGTTTGGCCTTTAGATTTTGATCTTCATCCAGAAGAGATGTCATTTTGATGCAAGTTCAATTCTTCTGTCTAGACTACTACATTGAGACCAAGTCAAATTTGTGTTTTACAAGTACCCATATTTTATGCAAAACAGGAAGAATATTTTCAAGTATATTAAAAACTATTAAAAAGCACTAATTCTGTCAAAGTACTTACAAACATGAATAAATAAATAGAAAGATGAACAACTAAGTCTCAAATATGACACCCCCTTCAGTGAAGTAAAGTTTACTTCAATTCAATTGGTTTTACTGAGATAATAAATATGACATTTAAAGCTGCTCAAGCACTAGTTGAATTTGTAGGTTGCAAGAACATTAAAAAAGGAGGGGGGAACTAGCAAAAAAAGTCATATTGCTCTATCTGTTTCAGCTACCATACATGTAGTAATCCATTTACTTTAGCTTCTCGGCACATGTGCTATTCCACAATTGTCAATGTTGAACAAGAAAATGGATAATCTTCACTTGGTAGTCTGGACTATTTCCCCTACACACAGGGCACAAGGCTCTAAAGGCCTACTGACATACTTAGCTACAGTGTACCAACGGCTGTAGAGTGTGCTTTATTTAAACCTCATGTTTCCCAAATGCATTGAAGTTGCCACTGTACATGTTAAGCAAAAAAGAAGAGTTAGTGAAAATCATGCATTTTTAAAACAAATTAATTTTAAGCATTGTTAATAAGATTGTGCTGCAGCGATGGAATATCCTGAACTGCAGGCCAGGTATCCAAATATTTGTTACAAGTTGTTCAAATATCACTTTGAAGTGGTATTTCCTTATTACTGTTGTTTGCATTCAGCAGGTTGGCTGGAATCTTTCTGTTTAAAAGGAAAAAGAGGACAGAAGAAAAAAAAACACCGGTTAAAAATCGAAGTGACAGACAGCAAGGCAAGTCAATAAACAAGAGAGCTTAACTATGCTGTTAAACTAGCCAAAGATACAACTATCCCATTCAAGGAGACAAAAAAAGCTACTTGTATACTCGGATCTAACTACAAATGTCTGAACTGCAGTCATTTTTTTTTCCAATTGCTTAATACTTCATTAAAAAAATAAAATAAAAAATCAYCTATATCTACATTCTCTATCAAGACAAGGCAAGGCTCAAGATAGGCCAACAAACCACCTTCTACTCCCCTCAATTAAAAGCTCAGACTGACTTCCAGCTCCTAATAAAACACTTTTGCAGTAAGCTGTCACCTCCTCCTCAACTGAGAGGAGGGAGGAAGGCTGGGAGGCTGAGCTACTCATTTTGCAGCAAATTTAAGTCCTCGCTCAGAAGCCTTTCCCTGTAACTGCAGGTGACACAAATGTAATTAATGAGTTTGCTTCTTCTGTGTTCTGYATCACTAGCGGGTAACTAATTCAACAGCTTAACACCGGGCAAGAAGTCCCAGTGCTCATCCAAGTATGCAAAAGTAGAAAGACCTTCATTACAAAACAAAACAACCTTCCCTTTGGCAAAAGGAAGTGTATTTGGAAAACAGCTAACAACTTCAGGTTTTACCCTGCACCTCTTCTGTTGTAAAACAGGGTTCTTGGAAAGCAGAATAACTTATTCAATAATTTYCCCATTTGCTTCCCCCTCTACCCTAGTTATTGCAGTTTATTATAAATGAAGAATCCATTACAGAAAACTCCTCTATTCTAGTAGARGAGAAGCACTGCTAAACAACATGACACCCTGAATGCCACTGACCACCAAACCAAGTGTTTTTTGGCAATTACTCTAAACAAGAGCTATACAATTGTAAAAGCAACAAGCATTTAAGTGTTCACTACTCAACAAGTGACCAAGAGCTCAAACAAACCTAGCACTCCATCTACAGTAAAGCAGAAGAGGCCCAACTAAGCTTCCTTATCACAAAATTTGCTTTGATTACCCATGCTAAGACCAAACTATTTTTAAGTATTCCAAGTTTATTTTCATTTTTCCCTTCCTGACCTAGACTGCTTCAGGGTTACAGTGGTCGCTGTCATTCTCATGACAAGTCTGGGTTACAGGCAAATTCTTGCCTTTGCATAGATAGGCCAGAGGCTTTTCCAGCAATCTTCCCTGTGGTTTTCCTCCCCCAGGATATCTGGCTAACTCCAGCTTTGCAATGTCTCATCTGCTTGGCTTTCCACATCCACTGAAGTGAACTGGTTTTCACYGAGTTGGACCTAAATGCAGCAGGAATTCACTCTTGAATATAAGGATGTGCTTACAATAAAACAAAATTAAGATTCTCTCTAAAAAAAGAAATAGAAAAACACAACCAGAACAAAAAAAAAGAGTGATCTGACTGTCACCGCTAAGAGCTGTATGCTGTTCATTTGGATTAGATRCAAGCAAAAACCCCACAACCCTAACATTTCTCAAAATGTTTTTCAGAAACATGCACATCTCTTACTATTACTTAGTATTTCAACACAGAAATACAAGTACTCAACACTTCTCCTCCAACATATACTGAGTAAAAAGAACCATAATTACATAGAAAACTGTCTGAGCAACTTAAAAATCTATCACCTTCCTCCCTATTCATTGAGGATGCTTAATACTGTTGGCCACTGTAACTGTTCTGGTCAATGTTTTGCCAATCAACCAAAAGTCATGCTGCATTTTCTAGTAAAATTGTCTATTCTTGATACTTGCTTTTAGTTCTGCAAAGATTCACATCACTTTATTGCATGTAGATCCTTATCTAAATACAATGTCAAAGAGATTATTTTTAAAGATAAGTTCCTTACGCATCTTTCAGTGATAATGACTACTCTAACAAACATATTTTAAGAGACTCTCAAATAAAAATARTGGTAGTTCATTTTTTTTTAGCCTACAATTGAGGTCTATTTATCTGGGCCATACATACCACTTATTTAAGAGGACACAGGTAACAAGGCAATGCCTCTGACCTGAGTTCCAGTACAATCMGTATTTTTCTACCATTTCAGACACGCAGCACTAGCACTAAACTTCCTAACCATGGCTCTTAGGAGCAACGCTGCACTCAAGCTCTAAATTGCCTCCAATTACCTTCCAGCCCCACAGAGAGCATCCTGCTCTAATCCTAATCTAATCCTGAGATGTCAAAACTGCAGGTCAATGACTGTACATAGTTTTCTGCAACTTTTAACCACCTTATTAGGCACATGTAAGCTGGAAATCATCTCTGGCCTGCAATGTCTCCTGGAGGGTCAGAGAAGCAGGCAGCAAGCTGCATGACACATTACATCCATCCTCTGCACGKGAGGCCATTGGCTTGAGCCTGTTCTTCTTACAAGGCCTCCACGTTGACAGTCAGCAACTGCTACTGCAGTGGCCACATTTATCAGCCTCAGACAAACCTTGTGCTATTTACCGCCCCCATTCTAGCCAGATTTCTCATTATTTCTGCATTCTCCTAAACTCACTTCCCAGTAAAGTGTCAGACAGGGATAAAAGACACCTCTTCTTCTACCTCCCTCCAAAAAAAAAAAGACTCAGAGATGAGGAATCATATATCATATCTTAAATGAGTTTAGCATGAAACACATGCAGAGTTTGCTGTCACTACTACAGGACTGCTACCATAAAGAGAATATAGAAACCCTTTTCTCCTAAGGAGATCTTCTGTGGTGGTGATGAACAATGGTTTCATGTAAAAAGTGGCAGAATTTATTTTACTATTACTATTTTAAGTCTTTAATGGAAGTATTCCATACCATTTACTTATTATGCTATACAGAAAGGAGTTAATCATTCTGGATCTCTGACTCTGGTTTGAGAAGCCGTTCAAAATGGAGATACAAAAACTTAAGAAGCGAAACAAACCTACCCTGAAACTTAACTTTTTCATTTTGACAGCTTTCTTTTAGCAAAGCTTTGTCACATCATCTTACTCATTCTATCATTTGCTAAGGATCAAGAAAAAAGGCCTTTGGCTACTGTGGACTTCTTTTTTGTCCCTAGCATTTCATTACCTAGAAGCACAAGAGAAACCTGAGCTCACTAGCCTATACACAAGATGAGCTTGCTCAGAGATCAGCTGTCCTGTCAGCGACTCCATCAACTGTCTGGGGACCAGAAGACAGACACAAAACTTAATGAAGTCCCCCTAAAATTTGGAGGAACATAAGGCTAAATGGAACAGAAAAGCATGCTGGGAGTTATATTGATTTCTCTACACAAGTAGCTTCTATAGTTTAAACACAGAGCCCTCAGCTGCCCCTCATTTGATTGATTTGATGTCCTACAAGATAGAGGCTTAAGCCCAAAGTACTCATGTCATTTATCACAGCAATTCACTCCTTCCAAATTAGATCCCTGTTGCATCAAGTAAGAGCTGAAGAAAATGACTTTTTCTTCAGTGCCTAAGCAAATTAAGCAGGATATTCTTAGCTAATTTAAAGAACAAAACAGCCTTCACCTCCTTGCTTTTTCAAAGCTCTTTTCATAAAGCTTCTGTTACACAAGGATCCCATCTGTGTAGGCAGCCTTGCAGGCACAGGTCGCCCTGCAAGCTCCTTGGGACACTATACTTGATTCCCAAGCAGACTTTGTTGCCAACAACAGTGCGATCAATGCCAACAGTAAGCATGAAAGCTGATGTTCAGTGAAGCAGAGAAGGAAGAAAACCTTTGCGTTATTTGAAACCTTTCTCTCTGTGAAATAATCAAAATAGGAGTATCAAAGCTAAACAGTATCTCTGTTCATTTCCTACTCTATACTCTCCAGAGAGAGCAAAGATATCAAACTTATGGGGGAAGTAAATTTGAAGCTAAGCAGAACCAGTAACCAAGTGAGTGTGTGAACACAATGTGCTGCAAAGGATTTCAAAATGAATTTGCTGCTAACACTCCCTTCCATCACTACTGCTTAAAAGATAGACCAGGTATCTGAAACATGAGTAGTCTCTGCCTACAGCACAGATTTTCAGTTCTTATTTAAAAATATTCATGCAACTATTTCTCCATTAGAGCACAGAACCAGTAATCGTGAAGTAAAGACAGCTGAACAAACAGGGCACTCAGGCACACAGAAAAGCAGACAAAACAAGCTTCATTCTCTTGGCATCTTCGGAAGTTTCTTTATATCATCTGACTGCTTAGCCTTCCAAAGCCACAACTTGGAGACAGCAGAGCTCAGAGTCCTTTGTACAGATGATATCAACCTGGTTCTCACTTAACTCAAATGTACTTCAGACTAAGGAAGAGCGCAAGGAAGGAGGAAAAGTTTTTGAAGAAAAAAAGACACAAGTGTTGACATCTACACAATGAATGAAGTACAGCAATTAAAAGATGAGCTAACATGAAAGTGACTGAAATGGCCCAAGTGGATTTAAAAAAGAAACTGACTAAAGAACAACTGTTCTTTGTGCACATTAAAAGCTTTTAAGGTGTAAGGGAAGCAGGAGTGAGGAAAGGGTGAAGGATTTCTGCCAAAGGACAGGAGTGAACAATGGAAGCAATGAAAGATGAGTTTAGRGGTATGTACACTATAAAGCAAAAAGAGAATTAAAGTTTGACAATAAAGCCTGTGGCTGATACTTTACAGGTGTAAGAAGGAAAGACGGCTGTGGAAGAGACTGCAGCACGATGATGTACGGGCTGTTCTGACAGAGGGATATTCTACTATCCCACGTGAATAAACAACACAGGAATGCTGAGGCAGGATGACTGACCTTACAAATTGAGAGTACCAGACTGGAAGTAACAAACAGTGCTCAATTTTGAGTGGAGGAAATGCAAAGAAGAGAGTATCTACAGGGTGAGGTAAAGAGTGGGAAGGAGTATGACTGCTCACAAATAACTAAGGAAACAAAGATGCAAACCTAAGGAACAGCCAAGGAAGTGTGACGCAGGCAGAGCATTCTCTGTGATGCATGGGAGAAGAGGAAGGGGAAAAGAAGGATACAACAGAAATTACTTCTTTAAAAAGTTACATAAAGGAGATGGATGAGCAGGCAAGCAAAATTTATTCAGTATCATGGAACACTCAAGAAAAGGCTGCAGAGTGACTGACTGCCTCTGCCAGGGAGCATGAATAAAGAGAATATGAAAAAACACATCATGTAAGCCAGTGACTTACAAGAGTTAAGAGGAATGAAGGAGACACCTAAAATAACTTSCAAGTAGAGTGGAAACAGATTAAGAAAGGTACAACATCAAACAAGACACAAGAAAAAAATCTGTTAAGTCTCAGCATCCTTTATCATCTGTATAAAACRCAATAGGACTGTTGCAAAGATAAAGCAGAAGTTGTGCCAGGAAGACAAAGAGGTSATTCTGATAAAAATCTATTCTACTTACACAATTTAAAGACATTAATCTCTCTATATATTCCTCTATTTCTGAGCCACTAATAAAAGCYAAACCCTAAAGACCCCACTCCCCCCGTTCCTCTTCCCCTCATACAAGAGAAAACTAGAGAAACAAAACACTACATGACTGCAAATGGGAATCTTGAAAGTTAGGTATGAATGGAATTCCACCTTACCTAGAAATGTATGAATGATAAACAGACTTAAATTACACCTAAATGGGAAAAAATTGAAAGGAACTGTCAGCATGAATGACAAGTGAAATGTACAAAATAATACAGGAGGCAACAACCACAACTAATCCAAGGATACCTTAATTTTTTTTGTTCTACAAAATACTAGTTTTCATACTTCCTCCTTTAAGAGGAAGTTTGATATTTAATAGAAATCTATTGCCTCAGAGCTAGCATTTTTTTCCTCAGGTGTCCTACCTTTCCCCTTTACATTTCCCTTTACACCTTCCTTGGTATTTTGGTCCCTTGGAACATTCAGAATATTGCTTCTGCTGCTCTAATGCAGTCTGAGCACTATCTTTACACAGGACTTCTTTTAGAAAACAGTATTTCCCATTAAGAAACAAGCTCCATCCCTGACATGGTGCCAAAAAAAATTGCAATATGATTTATATAAATCCGTTATTAGTCTTACAATGGCGTAAGCCACTCTGACATTCACCTAAAGATAATAAAAAATCAAGTAGTTATGAATACCTTTTCATGTGTGCCATTTTACAAATTAAAATGTGATATTCTGAGTACTAAAAGAATGCAAACCTGCCATCATTGTTCTAGCTTTACTCCTAGTATAAACTTTACRCTGATTGACTTGACTGAAAAAAATACCTACCAGAAAGAACACAAACCCACATTAAGACTGAATTTTAAACCAGGTCTTGTGAGGTTTAAAATTCAAAGTTGTGGATGCTTTTTGACTTCTAGCTGACCACAGACACGTGAAGTCTAACTTGCTGCCCTGAAGACAACTAAGAAGTTTTTAATTAAAAATATCAGAAACAAAACAACAACAACAAAAAAGAAAATCCACAAACTGGTCTGCCTAACACTCATCAAACTAATTTTAAGTTCACTTCTGGACACAAAATAACATTTCTGAAAAATATTAAAAAACACCCCAAAGGAGAAAAAATATGGAGATACCATCACGAAGCAAAGACACAGTTAGGATTTATTTTTCCCCCTTGGTGCAGGCTAGGAGACAAATATTTCCCTAATTCATCTGAATATTAACTTGTCTTTTAAGAACAATCTGAATGATGAGGAAGAGTAAAAAAAAAACCCAAAACACTGCTGTGGTCAGACATTAGCACCCTTTATAGTTTATTAACCTTTTTACAAACTATTATAAYCTTAATTATGGTGCTCATGATTATAACCTGTATTATGCTAATATATAATAAATATGCCTAAGTAAAGGAAAAAAAAATCCCTACCTTCGGATCACTCTCTGCATCATCTTCTTCCTCACCCTCCTCTTCCCCCTCCAGCTCCTATGACAAAATAGAGATAAACTAACAGAAATTAAAACAGGTTAAAACGCAGCTTTTTGTAATGGACAAGAAAAAAAAATCACAAGCGAAAAGAAAATATCTAATAGCATTATCACCACATTTCAAAGCATTTCAGCTATCAACATTAAAACTCCTTGGGTGGAGTAAAAGAACTCAACYTCCTTACAATCTTAAAGCAAGATCTTGAAAAGAAAATTTGTAATGCAGATTTTAAACATGCCAGATTTAAGGCAATCCTCCTATATAAACTGCTGTAGGCTCCTAGATTATAGTAACATCTCTCCAGTACCAGTGGAATTTTGCAGTTCTGCTAGTAAGCATAYGTCTAATTTTCTTCTTTGCTTTGACCTCCTTCCAGAGAATTTTTTCATGATTTCTGTGGTGTTTCTGCACTCTGTAGTATATTATGTATTTGTAAGTAGATCATAAGTCTTGCTGCACTCAAAGTCYGAGTTTAAATTAAGCATTTAATATTAGCAGTTGGTTCCTCTTCCCCATTTTAAGTTTACCTTCAGCTAGGACCATGCTTCAAACATATGATAATTAAAAGCTAACAGATGAATTCCACTAATACGAAGTAGYAGATTTTTAAAAGATTGAAGGATCTTCTCATGCAGTATTCAAGAGAAAAGTTTTTTTAATTTTGACTCGTCAAAAAGTAGCTTTCAAAATATCAGCAAAATAAATATTCTTATAGAAAAGAACTACATTAAAAGCAAACAACTTTTATAACTCACAAACACTGAACTTCTTAAATGAGCTCTCATTTGCCAGAACGCATTTGAACAACTGTTTTCTGCTGCATATAGAACTATTTTAGGAACTTGAACACAGTTGGTAACTAGATCYGTAAGATAATAGTATGTGTCTCACCTCCTCTTCACCTTCTTCACCCTCTTCAAACTAAAAAACAAAACCAAAAATTTTAGCTTCACTAGTATTTGCATAAAGTATTCTGCAGTAACAGATCTAGTACATTTATATAGTACCTGAAACTAAGCCACTTCCAGAAGCAATGACTAACAACTCAGTTGCATATCTCCTTCCCAATCCCAATTMATTATGAAACCTTTGGGCTTTTCATTATTCTCAAGGAATTATTATTATATATTAGGCTAATCAGAAAAGAGAATATACTTTATAAACAAATTGCTGCTAGCATACATACGTTATCATCATCTTCTATAGCTTCCCCAGTGAAATAAAGCACAGCACGAGGAACTATCCTTTCACGAAAGAAGTGACCAATTTCAAAATCTGCTGCTAGGGTGAACTCTGAATCTTCATCCTGTAAAGCAAATGAATTGGATTTTACCACTAATATATACAACATGCTACTGAAGAGCAAAGAAAAACATTCCAAAATTACAGGTTTGAGAAATACCATAAGGTCTCCTTTGAGATCATTTGCACTTTACAGCACATTTAACTTGGAGATAATTTAGAAGAAACAAGAGGAATCCAAATTCTAGTGGGGAATATAGATACACTTTAGAAGCTTAACTGCTCACATACAGGCTACGAAACACATTCTATTAAAATGTGTCACATACACTTTGCCTGTTTTTGCCAACTGACATTAGCTATGTGTTGCTTTATGGAAAGTCTGTTACCACTACACAGGAGAGGAAAGTGCTAGAGGAAATGACATCTTTCCCAACAGTGATTATTGCAGAGATGTTCAAGTGAGCAAGACGCATTACAGCAAAGTACCACAGRGTGCCTTGCAAAAATAGTTACTACTTTTTGTTTCACATGAAGATTAACAAAAGTAAAAGTTATCATAAAAACATATAGCCTCTTGATAATAGAATATGKAGTCAGCACACAGACATTTGGCAAAAAGCTAGAGTGAATAATAATATAATAGTCTAAGTGTAAACTCACCAATGACTCTCCATCGCCAGACACTACAAAGAAAATACCATTAATTCAGGAACAGTTTATATAATCTAGCCCATCTATTCATAACTATGTACAGTACAAAGATCTTCCCCCCGCCAAGAAAACAAAAACAGGCTTCTCTCCTCCACTCAGATACTGTAATTATGATCCTACTGTAAGTGCAAAGTGAGAATTTAATCCACTTGCAAGTTCCAAAACCAAGCATCAGCTGCCAACAGCTGTCAGGCTTATACAGCTACCTCCAGACTATGTCCAGCTGCCCTTTAAGTTTTTAAAGGAGCCAATATAGAACCAAAATGGGACCAACTAATCACTACCATTTTCTCTACAAAATGCAAAGATTTTTTTCTTTTATATAACATTTCTGTGCTAAAAATTCCTACTTCAGAAATGCTTAACAGTTGCTTTATTCCTGCATAAAAGCGGTTTAATGGGATTTAAAAAGAGTAGACAGAYGATAAAGAAAAATCAACATGACTAGACCTAGAATTGCAACTTTGTGTAGCAAGTCTCTGAAGTCAAATATATATTGATTTTGAAACACAGCTAGGTAGGCATTTGAAAATGAAAAAAATCAAAAAGTTTCAAAATCAATCAAAAATGTTAAATGTTTTCAGAATACACCTAAGTGTTTTAAAATATGTGACTACACATGTAACATTAAGTTACTGGTAACATGAGGAAGGTCTACAAGGCATCAGGCATCATTAACTTAACCCRAGGAAACCACAGAAAGTTCCTTCTCTTAACACAAAGGTTTAAGTGAAACCAATAGGCTGGCACTACACCAGAACGGAAAACAAATTCATCCCTTGTTAAAACCCCCAGACTGATGCATGGAGCCATCCTGTGGTCAAAGAAGGCAACTTCAAGAACATTTGACAAGAGTCTCCCTCCAAACTAAGAATCCTGCTTACACTGCACATCAGAGTTTTGCCAAGAACAAAATGAGCTGACATCTGCTCTCTTCCACTCTCCAGCAACAAGAAAGTACAGACTACAGCAAAGATAGTCTTAGGATATTGCAAAAATCCTAAACTCATTTTTTACTTACCCTTTATTGGGTTGAAGAAGTTAAAAAAAGAATCGTTAGGAACTTGTTTAGTAATTGTCCGAACTGTGCCTCGACCCTTGTGTTTCTGTTTCTTCTTGATTGTTTTAACTGTAACATTTTTTCCTTTCTTCCAGTCAATAGTACACCTAAAGACAACATATGGCATTTTAATATAGGACATTAAGGGAGATAAGAAATGGAACAGAGAGTAAAGGACATCATAGCAGAAATGGTTTCTCATTCTCTAGATAAAGCTTAAGCTGGCCAGATGTTAGAGATGTACTGCAGTACTAGAAATTACATACAGGTTGGACATACCAAATACTTCCTGAAACAAAAGAGCTACACATTTTGTCTTATGAGAGTAATCACTGTAGAGGAAASAGGACATTTATTCCTCCCGCCCGCCACACACACCAGTTTTGAGACAGAGGAAGCTAAAGATGTTCCAGGAAACCTCAACAGAATGATTCTTCAAATAGAACCATTAAGAGAAGTAAAAGACAACACACCTAGTTACAGTAAATCAGCAAAAGTTCTCTTGTCATTAATTACTACATCAAAAAAAAAAAAGATCAGCACCTGAAAAATATAAAATATTCACTAGAAATTCAAAACATGTTTTAAGTTCAAGTTTTCCTTACCCCTCACAGTCAACTATTTCAGGTCCTTCAAATGAAAAAGGATCTGTCTTGTCTGGCTCTGACTTCATCTTGTAGGTTTTTGTCAGGATTGAATTAGAAAAGTAGTCATTGGGCCCAAAGTGGAACTCTAATGAGAAAGACTAGAAGAAAGTTCCGTTACAGTTACTGCTCATTTTCCTCTTTTGTAGAGTTAATCAACAGAACTACTGAACTCTGAACATGAGGGAAAAACAAACAAACCACCCCACATTTGACAGCAAATATATGTTTTCCTGTAACAAAAGCAGGAAATGAAGAATGCRAACCATTAGAACAGTTTTGGTTAAYATTTAAATTATAATCARGTTTCATTCACCTTTACATGAGAAAGTAAAGGAAGGGAATTGCTTATGCTTTAGCTAAACATTGATATATACACTACAGGGAACAGAACTTAAAGGAAGCACCTATACATTAGTGTAAGACGACAAATAACTTCTGCAGGACAATAACTAGTTATTCCTTCATGGTCAAGGCAAATTAAATTCCGACAATTACGCAATTTCTCTGGCTGTAGCTTAATCCCTAATAGAATTAGTGTTTTTATTACACACCAGAAGGGATTTTTTTTTYCCCCTCAATCAAAGCCTAGCAATTCTACTGCACAATGCAGCAATTTAATGATTGGAAAATACATTTCGCACAAGACCGTAAAGCAGGTTTCACTCAAGAGATTAGAATTGCATCCATTTGTCTCTAAATACAGAAGAGACACAGAATTTGCCAGCCTTCCATTATTGGATTTCATGTAGCACTGGAATGGAACCTATTCACAGGTATGTACTGTCAAGAGGTTACGAACAGTGCGAGACAAAATGAATCCACTGACGTCCTAAGGGAAGATCTCCAACTTAAAGTACTGTAAAACAAAGCCGAATAAGAACAAATAAAAGTGTTGTAGTTCAAAACAACYGTTCTCCAAATTACTTGAACGCCATTGAGTAGGTACACTTCAAAGCACTTTTAGAATACTTAGCTCAAGCTTAAACAGTTGTTCATTAAATTCACACCCACTCCCTCAGGCCCAATAATATTTTAGACCTTAAATATTCCCAGTCTGTCTCTATGCCTACCACTCCCTTTGCATATCATCTACTCAAGTTTTTGTACTAACAGGGGAAACAGTGAAGACCAAAACCTTTACTTCATATACAAACCCATCTTTCTTCCTTGATTCTGAAGTGCAAGATCTCTTGTGATTATTTTAGACTGTTTATCAGATGACTACAACTCCAGGAAAATTCAGCAAAATAAAAACATGTACGTGGGAGAAAAACCACAAAGATCAAGTTTAAAGAGAAGATGCAAGTCAATCCCATTTGTGGCTCTGCTTCTGCCTCAAGAAAAGGTTTAAGTAGTACAGTCTACATGAATAAATGCATCAAAAAAGAACACATTGTTTTTGACAATATCTTCAAGATAAGTTCAACTTTCAGAAGAAAAACTTCTGAAGAAGTCAAACTTGAGGTTTCAAATTACCTACTAGGTACACTTTTAAAGGCTACCTAATACATTTTCATTGCTTTTGCAGAAGCACTGTATTCATCACTGTCAATTAGAAAATTTAAGTCATATATTTCATYTCTTATTTTGATGAAGTATCCTATAGCACACATTTTTCTCATGGCAAATTCATTTTCAACCCTAAATGCAACTGTTCTACTTTGCTAGTAAGAACAGGCTATTTGTAAGTTTACAGAGGAARCAAATGAAAACTATTATGGATTGAGCGAAAACACAATTTAGGAATTACAAAAATAGGAGACATAAAGCTAAGGATAAGACAGAAATAAGAAAGTCAGAAAAAGTCAGAGAAGCTAGAGAGAAATTTTTAAAGCCAAAGTAAAAAGATATTATCCTGTTAAGCACCTCCCGTACATTCTATCAAAACAGAATGGAATGAAAACATTTTGAACTGCTGCCCACATCACTACAACAACTTAATGAGAAGCAACAAGAGAAAACTTACCATAGGCTGTCCAGGTTCAGAAAACTTCACTTTAATATCCTSCAGGTGTTTCAAGATTGGTTCATCATATTCCTATAAAGTAAAAGAACTGCTTATTGAGCAGGCAGTATTTAGAGGAGCAACATTTTAATTTAATCTAGTTATCTTGCTTGACTTGCTCTTGTAACATAACTGGTTTGGCACATATCAGACGGCAAATTCTCAACCATTAAGTCTTGACTTCATAGCTTAAATGACTATTACCTTGCTAAGCTGCACAAACACTATCAAAACAATGAAATACTTAATTCAGGATTTTTACTGCTGATGAGATTCACAAGCTTCAGGGTATTAAGATAACTGGGTGGAAAAGGGACGAAGGAAAAAGAAATGCAAGAAAGCAAGATAAGAAAATTTTCATTAAAAGTTTGGGTCAGYTGTCTGCTTGTCCACTGCTGCCTCCCAAGCATTTTATGGATTAAGGACTCTGAAGAACCATAAGCTTATTATCTTTTACCCACTGAACATGTAAACACTAGAGATTAGTTGAAAAACTTCAGACAAGTTACTCTTCTCAGAGGAGAAACTTACTTGTACTAATTCACTTAGCATATCTACATTTCTAAAGATTGTAAACCAGAAGTCTGGAATTCCTTTGAGATTTGTCTCTTCTGCTTCTGCCTTTTCTTCTAGTACCACTACATTTTTCAGGTCTCCCTGTGAAACAAGTAAAGAAACATTTAAGAAAGAAAATCGTAAGAATAAATAACAAGCAGGGGTAGATATTCAGGATGTTTGCCACCTCTGAAGCTAAGTGACACAAGAGGTTCAGTCATATACCTAGAAGTATAYGCAACAAACTCACTTTCAAGTCTTGTAGATTTCTACAGATGGTAAATAGATTATATTTATTACCATATTTTATATGTATATATATTACSGCATTATATATAAAATAACTGCTGCAGTAAAGAGCATTTCTACTTTCTCACAGCAATAAATGCTCTTGTATTTTTCATTCCTCTTTTTCCTGTAGCCACCATAATTATTTACCATGTGCAATCTAAGTTTTAAAATTAGCCTCCATCCTTGGAAACAGTCTTATTTTTCAAACAATTCTGCAAAACACTGGCACTATAAATGATTATTTCACTGTTACACTGTCTTGAATGGTTAGCCTTTTGCGATGGAGGCTTCTCTCACAATAACTGAGGTTAAATGTTAACAAAAATTAATGAATTGACTTCCACATTCCACATAACAGGAAGCATGCAGTCTGAATTAGCTGTATTGCACCTTTCCTTTTACACCACTAGATAGCAGCAAATAGACATTCTTCTAAATAGCAGCCATTGGGGTTATGATGTCAAGAGCATGAATCAGCAGTTKACTTGCCATGTAGACCTGTTTCTGATTTTATAGTTCGATGGAACACTGCCAGTCAGTATCATATATACATAAAGCCTAACAAGTCTTCTTGCCTATGCATGAGGAATTCTGTCTCCCGCTTAGCCGCAGGAGACCAGTAAAAACAGAGATTTAATTCATTTTGTAAACAGAAAGTCTCCAAAGGAAACTGAAGGCAAAGAGGACAATGAAAAAACGTAAAGAGAAACTGAGAGAAGAGCAAATATGGCATTTTAAGTAGATGGCTTCTCTTCAGAAAAAAAATCAAACTGAGAGTACGGGCTAAAACAATTACAGAAAGTAAAAAATGACCTATCACAGCATCTTTCCTAAACCTAGGTATCTTCTCAATACAAAAGAGATCAAGAAACAACACATGTGCCATTAGATCAATCCCATTTTGTGACTAGGAGACATCCACGTCAAATGTGTGTTTATGGAAATTGAAGCTAATTATGTCCCCCAAAATAAAGGGGACAGGCAGAAAAACTGCCAGCCTTCTATTATCTTGGGAAATTATGTAGCACTGGAATGGAACCCATTAGCAGGAAGATACTGTTAACAGGTTACGAACAGTGCAAAAAGACAGCGTTTCAACTTGCCTCAATTATAAGCTTAGACAGTAAATTACGTTTGCAAACGCTTTTGCTGAACGTATCAGAATAACATTTTATTAATAAAACCTTTATTATCAGAAGAATTCTTCAATGGGAAATGCTGTACAGCAATTAATTYCCAAAAATCTGCTACAAATATAATTTATTGCCCAACTGATACTCACAGCTAGTTTTTCTTCCTCCTCATTTTCACTGTGCCACTCTGACTCTGCATCTGTAGGTTCAGCTTCTCCATTAATAAACTCTCTCCTCTATCCAAGAAAAGTTAAAAAAAAAAAAAAAAAGGAAGTGAAGATTTCTCTGGATAAGCTACTGACATAACATAGAACCAAGAATATTCAGACAAAACTGAGTTGTAATTAAGACAGAAAACACAAGTTCAGTAAAGAAACACATTGTTTTTCTACCTTATCAAAAAGAGGTTGATAGAGTGCTGCATATTTTCTCTCTAGATCATGTACTTCTTCATAGAATTTTGCTTCTATATGGGCACACTTCACCTGCAGCTGCTTCAAGGCATCAATTCGTCTTTTCACTGCTTTTGGTAAACTAAAGGCAAATAAATATGTTAACCGAAGAAGTTACATGTCTCAGGGTCTCAGTATTAATTAACTGAAATAAGACTGCTTATGGATAAAACCCTTTGTTAAAAATCGGATTAAGTCCAACATACATATTTCTGCAAAACCTATTCTAAAAGTTTATTGGGGGTAGTGGCGAAGGGTGGAAACAACCTTTCCCCTACCCACGTTGTCCTCAAAGGTGTTCCATTTCCTATTCCACCACCGTTCCCCTGTATTTTGGAAATCTGAATTTAGTAACTTTATGGTTAAACCTAAGCAACTAAAACTGTGCCATGACATCCATAAAAAGAATTGTATATGTTGCACAGCTTAGATTCATTGGTCATTCAGAAACATACACACAGAGCCCATCTGTACTCAATATTATTAGGAGCTTATACAATCAGTTAAAAAGTGACCTTTTTCAACACTTGTAATAATGATTTCTAAAGAAACAAGTAATCCTAGTCAAGAATAAAATATTCTCTACCTACAGCAAAAATTAAAAAGGTAGCTCCACATAGATTAGCAGTTTATATAAGATTCATACTGGGGGATAGGTTGTAGCATTGCAGATCATGAAATTCTCCACTACAAAACCGACAGCAGTCTTACAGAAATCAGGCATAATGCCTGCAGCATGCACYCTACAAGACTAAAGTCATTTCCAAAGCATGGAAAGGGAGAGATGGGCTAATCTAAGTTATTTCAAAACAAAAGCGTAACAGCCAAAGGAAACAGCACATGGGACAGAAAGAAAAAATCTTGTTTTCAGTTTCGTTCAATTAAGCTAAAACTTGAGTCATTTCCTCAAAAACAGGTCACTGAATCATGCTGCAAGTCAACCAYTTCTCTTAATTATTTGGTTCAATTTCTTATGTTCATCGTGCAATAGATATACTCTTTCAGACTTTCAAGAATTTTACTAAGCACTGTACTTACGTTTCAATGTAACTTGAAGGAGTGAGCGCTGTATTGTCAAGTCGTTCCTGCAGAGCTGCCAAGACCTGTGGGTTTTGCATCACTTGGTCTGCTAGCTTTTCTATGAAGATAGAATGTCACTCTTAAAACAAATCTCAAAATATTCATACAGCTTCTGTCATATTATGACTTTCTTACAGCAGCCATAGCAAACAAACACGAGCTATCTTCCAGTTCTCAAATATCACCAATGCTCAGTACATTAACAAGAGAAGGAGGACTCCTTCAGATTCAGATTTCATCTAGACAAAGCTGGATAACAACACATCCTTCTCTTGGGAGAAGTATCAAGTCTCTGCTGCTAGAAGTAAACAGCACACAGATGACATGAGCAGACTTCCCGTCTTCCCTGGTATGCAAGAAGGTGGAGATTCACATTTCCTGAATCTCTGTATATATTAGCACTAGATCACAAGCCACTTAAAAGTTTGCTAGAGAAGCTTCCAAGACACTGCTAAGTTTAAGTAAGGCTAAGGCCTTACTCTTGAAAGACAATAACAACAAAAACTTACTATAAAGAAAAGCAGAGTAGCACTATGACCATTTATTTCAGGGAAAACTCTATTTCCAAATCTTTCCCTTTTTGCACTATTCCTTTAAGCAATTAAAAAACCATTAAACTCTATATGACATATTGAAACTTTTACACCACTTTTTTCCCTAACCTGGATTAGTTATTGGTATTCACCAAACAATACATGACTTCCAATTGCAGATTATTAAGGTTAAATAATCAGTAACACATAGTAAAAGATAGCTATGTTTTATACATAACTTATTCAAGTATTCAAGTTAACAACAGCGGAATGGTGGCTTTCCTGCAGGCATGCATATGAGTTCAAAAGATTAAGCACCATTCAGCACAGTTATCTGTAGACTTCTGAGATAAAGAATAAAAGCTTTGAAAAGGCGTTCTTATAAACACGCATTTTCCTACAAGATAAAGTGAGCAGTCTTGCAATTCTCAAAGCTATTAAAAGCTGGTCTATACAGCCTTCACTGAAAGGTTTTAATTTATTTCATTCAATTGCTATGTATGCTAGCCAGTGTGTGTGTGCACGCGCACACACATGTATATACACACACATATATTTGTTCACTATTACAGATACAGTCTTTACTCTTCTCTGGACATACAAAACATCAGCCTGAAAAAGGAAGACTCATGAAAGATTAGTCAAAGAAAAAAAACACTGCTTTTTTGCTAACAAACATGTATGTAATTCTGAGGGTCAAGTATTTGCAATTGTAGATAAACAAGCTTCAATATACAAGGCAAAGGGGGTGTACCCCATCTTCACATTCGTGCTACTATTTCTTACCTTTTTTGTCACCTGCATTTTTAGCAGCCTCCACAGAATCTGTAGCAGTATCTTCTGCTTTACTAAGGGAATTAAAAGTTTAACATGTTAAATGGAAATCACTTCATAAATGTTTTAATATTTAAGCATAAAAATATTCTGAACTTGCAGTGCCTGCTATAGGGCAAGATTTAAAGCAYGCATACACTTAACAGACTCAGACAAACTCTTCAAAATGGAGGGTGAAACTTGTGTAAAAAATTTGTTTTCCTTAAATGAAAAGGAAGCAAAGGAAATCTCAAAAAAGATCAAATTCATCTCATTATGTGACTGATTGGCCTCGAGTCTGCACTAGGTTACCCTGGAAAGGAGAATATTATTACCCACCATATGAAACACGAGACACCCTTTTACACTAAGTGATAAACACATTAGAAAAAGCAGAGGCAAGAAAGTGAGACTAGCAAGTGCTCAAAGCTCTCTGCCTGCAATCTTCATTCCAAATTGTTTTGATTAATAGTAAACACATTCACTTTAAGAGCTGCTCCCTCCCCCAACAATGTCTTCCATTGTATTCCCTCTGCTGGAGTTAGGGAACGGCCCAAAACCAGGCAGCAGACAGTAACATTCCTGCATTTCCAGACATTTTATACGTCACAGATGTAGACTGGAAGCTGCCGAAACAAATCCTTACTCAGATACAAAACGAAAAACAATTATCACATAGGCAAATAGATATTATCAGTTACCAGACTAAGTTATCCAGCTTACCCAGGTGCAGTACAAGCCTTGAAAGAGTACTGCAGCATCATCGATAAAGTTAAATAAACACCAAGTTAAAAAAAATACTATTACTTACTCTAGAAATGCTATAAAAACTAGGAAATATAACCATACCATTTAAAATGCTTTTAACTACAGGTCTACTAACTTTTAACATAACTACAAAAATTTAATCTCATTAAAATAGTTGAGCATACCTGTTATCTGCCATCTGTATGCCTGTATCCACCTGCAAGTTGAAATACATTGATTAAAAAGACCTCAACAGTAACCTGTTTTCCTTGCAGAGGATAAAAATGAAATATCTTTAAGATAATTTAAGATATTTGGGGGAAAAGAAAGGTATTGTGCACAAACTTCTGCAGTMAAGTGAGTAGTTCCAAATATCCCATCCAAATGTGAACCTGGAAACAATAAACATTGGTATTTTAACCTCTACATACTATCTTACTACGCCTGATACGGAATTAAAGAAAGTTCAATTCAATTACATTAACTTCAGAAAGGTTGTCTCTTGTCACCTAAGCACAAAAATATGCCTTGCTTGCCATCTAATTGGGTCTGTTTCTGTAAGCAGCTGCTTCTGCAGCTATTGGTGTTCTGCACTGTCTCCTCCAAGAGGAGCGGTTTTGGCAGCAGTTAAGAAGGAAGAGCTCCCTACATAAAGACTTGGCTACAAGTTACTGCGAGTGAGAAAACAAACAGGAAGCAGGAAGGTTAAAGCGCTGGTAACAGCAATGGTTGCAAACAAGTCTAATCCAGCTATCCTACCCCACCCCAAGATTTAAATTAGCTCTCTTGAGAAAACACAGCCAGACTGTCTGATGTGTTTTGCACTTATTTCTTTAGCTCTATCAGTGGTAAAATTTACAAGTTCATAGATCTATTTCAGTAATACAGCACTTCCTTCCACCCCTCTCCACACTAGACAGCATTTATGGTAAATGCAAATAACCCCCCCACACTTTATAGAAGTATAGGGGACATTATTTATGACTATAAAGCTCTTAAGAGAGCAGATGCCACTCTGCAAGCCATATTGAAGAATAAAGAGAACCTTCCTTCTGGGTAAACGGCTCCAATTTCTTTGAGCCTATAAAGGCAAAAGAGGCTCATCTTTAGCTTAGCTTCTAATAGTCAGCCACCACAGCACAACATAAGCCCTAATGACATCTTGAGTGGCAGTCAGAACACGGGATCAGAGAACGCATGAACTTTGCCAGCTCACAACACCGATTCTTGCTCCAGGCTAGAAAAATCAACATTTTTATTACCACTTTAAAGGGCTGAAACACTTTGCTCATTTACAGCAGCACTGGAAGCATATTTTAGATGATTCTACACAGYAAATGAAGCTGTCCAGCATGTACCACCCACAGGTCCACCATATCCATGCTACAGATTAAGTCCAGGAAAAAATAAAGAGCTTCTTGGAGACTAGCTGTGCTTCCACAACCCAGGCATGTTTATTTGTAAGCGGTTATTCTTGCTTTAGGTATAGAAAAAGAAAATTAAAATGCAAACAATCACTTTCCAAAGCAAAAGGAGAGAACCTGATAATCTTACAGCTAAAATAWAACACRCCATCTTTTCCTCCCATTGCTGATCAAAAGCAGAAAAAAAAAGTTATGATTAAGAAGGTAGGAGACAGTAGACTGACCCAACACCTGAGGTCAGCCAAAAAGCTATATGATCCTCAGTCACTATTCATGGAAGCAATAGTAAGCAACTAAAAAATGCCGACATGCATTACATAAAAATTAGCCTGGGAGACTTGTGTTTTCCAAACCAGACCCTGAAACAGAGCTAAAAGAAAAAAATCCACTCCCCATACAGGCAGCTGAACAGAAGATTCGTACTACGTTCCCTCAGGGAACTACTTCTCCATAGAAATAGTATGACAAGGTTGTCATTCACGTTAAGAAAACATGGAATAAAGTTGCTACGACTTGAATAATTTTTAAATGGTACTCCCCTGGAGTAGATTACAAACTGGGAATAAAAARTGACACCATCCCCTGTTGCAAACACGTACTTTATGTCTTGCTTCTTTCTTCAAGTAACAAGTTTCCCCTTGTTCCCTCAGTTACTGAAAGCGAAACAACTTACATGTATAAAAGAGTTTTAAGTTTGTTTTTTTTTTTTAAACCAAAAACTGTAAAATGCTGCAGCATTACAGCAATGTCTTCCAATGACTGAACTGCTACAGACTTACTATTAAAATTGTTCTATGTAAGTCAGGATGGGCCTATAGAGGGTGGGGGAGAAGCTGCAAGGAGTTTTAAGGGAAACAAATTTAAATGCATATCTACTTGAACTTGCACACAAGCAGCACAMCAAGCCTATCCTCTTTATTGCTATTTATTGCCTCGGTTAAGTCTGACATAAGTAAACTCTGTGTGCAAAAAGGACATTAAAAAAAAAAAAAATCAAACAAACAAGAGAAGTGTAAAGTACTATCATTATTGCTGTCACCATCAATAAGAATACAAACGTGTATCTTATCTCCCCTGAAGTCTTCACTGTTCTCAAATGAGTATTACAGATGTGGAGCTTAGTGGGAAGAGGGGACTACATGAACCACAAAGCAGGCTGCCACAAYTGAAATGTCTGGCACAGATGTCACACAGCACATTCACAAATAAAAGAAATGAACAAAATAAACTCCTTGTGCCAAAAAAATAAAAGTCTCTTTCTTGCTGTATAGCTCTTCCAAACAGAGAAAGAGCCAGAAGATAAAGCAAATCAGTAGTGGAATTCTGAAGGCAGAGCAAAATTTCCAGCCACAAGTGTTCCTGCTTTCCGTAACTACAACAAACCAGAGAAGAAAGTTATGTCTTCCGTCGTAGAGCTGTGGGGATGTAACTCTGGGGACAGCCACAAGCGGTCTCATGCTTTCTGTATCAAAAACAAACAAAGCAAAAAAACAAAAACCAGAGGAAAAAAAATAGCCTAGATGAAGATATTCATTACCCTGATCCACAAGGGCTGACCGTTAGCACTGCTTAAGCTCATCTTTGGCTACCTGAAGAAACTATTTAAGTGAGAGATGCTCTTAAATAAATTTGTMTACGACTTCTACTTTCTGCGTAGTTCTTCTTGTACCTTATAGGATGGAGGTTTTGTAAGCAGATGTCACAGGAACCGGCTCAGATGCTCTACACACTTGTGTCGTGTGCAGAAAATGGTAGCAGCAGGGAAAACTTAAGAAAGAATCAAGAAAAAAAAAAATGAAAAACTAGAAAGAGGAAAAAAACCTCACTTTGGGGGATGGGTGGAAAACGTGAAGCCCAGCGAGGCCTCCGCAGGCCGAGGGCACCCGCCGAGGGGACGGCCGATGAGGCCAGGCGGAGGATCCCGCGTTCCCCGGGGCGGGGGTGCGCGTGGCGGCGGCGCCTGCTCCCGCACGTCCCGCGCTGGGGGCGGGGGGCACGGCMGGGCACGCCGCCAGCCTCCGTGCAGGGAGCCCGAGCCCAGCCCGCTTCCCCCCGACCCGAACGCGCCCGGCTCAGCCTTAAAATGGAGCCCGCGCGGCCGGGGCCCGCCCCCC